GTCAGTTCAAGCAAATACATTATCGCTTATGTACCTCTGTACAGTACTAGGATTCTTTCCATTTTTCTTACTTGTAATAGTTCAGATTGCTAGGCACTAGCCTTGTATGGTCAGACAAAGATGTTGTAAAATACTTAAAGCCTCGCTTGCCTTAAGACATCATACCAGCCATTTTTTTCCTGTTCTGCCAATGAAAGATAAATTCTCTCTAAATTGCAATCAAGAGTTTGGGGAAAAGATTTTCATATCCCTTATAATAAATGCCATGAACTTAGAGCTGTTGTTTCAAAAATTAAAGTTGTTTCGTGTTTTGCAACGGCACATTGCGTCACAGCTGGGTTCCTGTGACTAACAACAAAGCATAGCTGAATTGATGATGAATCCATATCACACTGTAGAAAGCATTGTGGAACATCTGATTTTTAAATAGGAGGATCCATTAACTTCCAAAGCAGATATGTTGCTGTTCAAACATAACTGTAGCCAATTGCTAAATTCAGGTGGGTAGCCATGTTGGTCTGAAGCAGTAGAACAAAGTTTGAGTCCAGTGGCAGTTTTATTCAAGGTGTGAACCAAATGTAGCCAATTGTTGTTAGGCTACAGATGAGATTTACATCACTCAAGATCTAACTTATAAAAAAAGGGAAAATAAAGCTTTCCAATCTGCTTAGGTTGTATAAAGATCAGGCTTAGAATGAGTTCACAGTCATTTTAAGAGCAACTGAAACATCCTGTGAGGATTCAACAGGAGGGGAAAACTACGAGATGGTTTCTAAATCCAGCAAGAGGCCAGAAAGATGTGGACTACTGCTGTCATACCAGCACTGTGGGTTAAAATGGACATAACCCAGACTGGTGTAGCCGTGTTAATTTATTTATTTAAGTGTCTGCCCCATTCACATGTAAAGCACGGATAATGTCTACGTTTTACACAAAACACAGCACACAGATCAAGAAGATGAACTTTCCCCACTCTACATTCTTACCCCATCACTTCTGATACTTTTCTCCCCACAGGGATTATTTTCAGTATCTGAACTAAGGTTTCTAAATGGCCTTGAAAAAATGTCCTGTCTGTTTAATAAAGACTAAATGTGTGGGAAAGACTGAAGGTAAAAGAAGAAGGGGACGGCAAAGGATGAGATGGTAAGACAGTGTTATCGATGCAACGAACATGAAATTAAGCAAACTCCGGTGCACGACAGAAGACAGGAGGGCCTGGCGTGATGTGGTCCATGGGGTCGTGAAGAGTTGGACTCGACTGCAACTGAACAACAACAACAAATGTGTGGAAATGGGTAGCTGAAGTTTTTCATGGCAGGAAGCTAAACAACATTATCTAGTAGATAACATCCCATTAAGCCTCTATTAAAGGACCGGGGCATTTTTCTCCAGAGCAGCTGGCAGCCCTTAAAAAAAAACTACCTGGGAATCGGGATAAGAAGGCACAGGGATACAGGAAGGAGATTTAGCTCCTGTCAACTTGGGTCCTTTCTGCACTGGCATCTTTTAGCACTACTATTGCATTGTTCTTTCTGCTGTCTGTGCAGAAGTGGAACAACATCTGCAGTTCTCCCTGGCATTTAGTATAGCATTATATTCCCACTACAATCATGCAGTGACTATCCACACAGCAACAGCCAACAGCATAAGTGGGAGGGGTGTTCTCAGATTTGTCCCCAGAAAGCCACCTGGGAAATCTGCCTGCTTGCCTGGCTCCCTTCCCTGCTGCACTCTCTAAATCCCAGCAGCCCTTCCAATCTGATAAGAGCAGCTTTCAAGTCAATGTCAGGCAGCTTCATTCAGCCTTCATGGTTCTGTTAACTGGAGAGAATTTAATGCAGGGTGCTTGTTTTTGATACATTCAGAGTAGTTTCAGTCCTTTGGGGGGGGGAGTGATCTCTCATTAGCATACTTTCACTGTTGTGTGTCTCCAGAACTGAAACTGACATGCAAGTACTTACAAAGAAAAGTTCCCCCAGATTTATCAGCTCATGCTTCCCTGGTCTCTTAATAACTCCACACACACACACACACTGTAATCAGCTTTTATTTCCTTGTTTCATGTCTTTGCAATCCCAAGCAATTTAAATAGAAGATGGGATCACTTTGCAAATCACTGTGCAACCAGAAAATAGCAGGGCACTAGCCATCTTGTCAACCTGACCACTTCTGGCAAGTGCATCAGTAACAGTTGGCCAAAACACAGCGGGCAGATTGGTGTTACAATTACATTCAGTGTCAAAGTGCACACCCCTTCTGATGTTAAAATTAAACACCTCCCACTCCCCGCTGCATACTATCAATGTGCATTAAAATGTTGAATTTGTTTAATTTTTCAGAAGCTCTATATCTTTGTTACACATTTGTTCTCTTTACTCTGTTTTTTATTCGTTTCCATTGATTTTAATAGGGGAAAGACTTCATACCTGTAACTCTCTCCACCTCCAATCCAACAGGGATGACATTCTTGAGGACTGTACTCCTTTTACCCAAGAGACTCTCCTGCCTGCCACATTTCAGAAAGAGATGAGAAAGCATCTCCATTTTATAAGCAATTCACATTCTCACAGAGTATGCATACAGAAGAGTAACATTTTTCTGTGCTTTTACCCTCTGTTCCCAGGATCCTCAAGCACGAGATAGAGGGAGGAGGGAAAGAAGTCTATTTTATAAACAATAAATTATTATTGTATGTCATTGTGTGTAGTATAGACAGGAGATCCGAAGATTGTCTGGCAGTCTTAAAGTTCTAGCTTTTTAGAGTTATGCACCACTAGTTGGCGAGCTAGACTTATTTGGGGGGAGGGCTGAGAGAGCTCTGAAAGAACAGTGACTCATCCAGTTCCCAGGTCACCCAGATGGCTTCATGTGAAGGAATGCAGAATCGAACTCAGTTCTCCAGATTAGAGTCCGTCGCTCTTAACCACTACACCACACTGGCTCTCTATTTTATAAACAAAATTCTTATAATGTTAGTAAGTGGAGGTAAACCCTGAACCCTTCTGCACTTTACCTCATTCTGCTAAATTGTTTTCAGCATTTTGCTTCCAGCCCAACTGATTTCCTGTATCACTCATATACCTAGTTGAACAGAAAGGAGGTTTTTGTAAATCACATGTCAGAACATAATGCAGCACGCAATAAAATAATTTGTAAGGTATCTTAGGTCTCTTTAGCTGCAATGCTAGGTACATTTACACAGGATTAACTGGGGTTATGGGGCTTACTTCAGAACAAAAGTGTACAGTTTCATACTATGTTATCTATTTTGCTGTTACATCTTAGAAGAGAAGAGATTGGATTTATACCCCGCCCTTCACTACCCAAAGGAGTCTCAGAGCAGTTTACAAACTCCTTTCCCTTCTCCTCCCCACAACAGACACCCTGTGAGGTCGGTGGGGCTGAGAGAGCTCTGAGAGAAACTGCTCTTTTTCAAGGACAGCTCTTATCAAAACTATGGCTTGCCCAAGGTCATCCAGCCAGATGCAAGTGGAGGAGTGGGGAATCAAACCTGGTTCTCCCAGATTAGAGTCCGCGCACTTAACCACTACACCAAACTGGCTCACCAGTTAGCATCATTAATCCTTCAAAATCTATTTACATGTATGGATGGCTCCCTTAAGTCAGTCTGTACATATTCAGAGACATTGTCCTTGACTGCCAGTCTGCTCCAGACAACATTTAAAGTGTTGTCGAAAGCTTTCACAGCCAGAGTTCATTAGTAGTTGTAGATTTTCCGGGCTGTATGGCCGTGGTCTTGGCATTGGCATTTTGCCAGCAGCTGTGACTGGCATCTTCAGAGGTGTAATACAGAAAGACTTGAGTACTCTCTGTGTCAATGACTACAGTGCCAAGACCACGGCCATACAGCCTGGAAAATCTACAACAACTAATACAATTCAAAGTGCTGGTTATTATTTTTAAAGCTGTAAGCTATCCAGGACCAAGATATTTAAATGACTGTTCCCCATATGAGCCTGTCCATCAGCTATCTTTTTTAAAAATAGAATACATAATCTTTGTACCTTCAGAGGTAAGGTGCATGACCACTTCAGACCTTCCTTCAGGATGCAACTTTCTCCCCATACGTACTCACCCAGCACCAAAAAAATCCCTTTTATTCTTAGGGTTTGGCTGTTGGGTTTGTTTGTTTTTTAACACAACTACATTCCCCCCCCCCCCGCGCCCCTTTTAAAAACATTACTGCTTCTCTGACTAGAGCTTTCTCACAGCTTTTCTCCCGCTGATTTTATAGCTGTGAGTTTTAGAGGAAAGGTGTGACACAATTTTTCATGTTCAGTTATTTGCCATCCCCATTTTTATCGTTTTAAGTCACTGTGGAAACCCATATGTTGAAGGCAGTGAGCTACTAATATTTTGAATAAATAACATAACCACGTTGTGTCTTTTAGGTCCTTTAAAAATTTGCCTGAGGAGGGGGAAATCATGTTCTGTCAAACACGGCAAAATGTTCCTATCAGCGGTTTAGTTCTTGTACTTTTTTTTTTTTTTGCTTTCTGTCATTTCAGAAACATCAATAAATGTATTTAAAAATAAAGAAACTAACAAGCTGACTAAATCATGCTATCCTCACTCACTTCCTGCCCTATACCCCAAAAGAGTGTCTCCATAACAACCCGTCTTGCATCAAGAGGTAAAGTGTAGTGACATCACATCCATCGGCCCGAAGGAGGGGGGGAACCCATCCGATCCGTTCCCCATCAAAACAACTAACAAAATCCCAAGCCAACCTTTCAAAAGCGCACGCGCGGTCCCTTCCTTATGCTTCATCTCTCCTTTTCATTTCGTTCTCAAAGAGAAGTCCCTCCCCCGCACTCCCATTCGCCTACTCTGAAGCTAGGCACCGCCTGCTTCTCCCGGGCTTCATTCCTATTGGCTCTGTCTCAAAATGACAGACTCCAACCTCCGCTGTCCAGGACGATCATAGAGTTTACACCTTTGAAAGTAGAGCGGCCCCTTGTTTCCTATGGCCGCGGAGGCTCATGGGAACTGTCAGCTGCCCCAGAAGAGGCCCGTTGCGGGGGGAGGGAAAACATCCGGGAAGCAGGTAAGAGATTTTATATATATGTATATAATATATGTTTGAACATGTGCCATTAGGTGCGTGTGTGTGAGGACTCTGTAAAAGGGTTACAGTTCAGACCAGGTGATGGGGGATAGGATAGGGACAGGCAAGCCTAAATGGGCAACTTATTCAGGACAGTGAAAAACCAGGGCTCTTTGCTTCAAGAGGGGCTGAAACTGAAGTATTTTGAAAACTAAGCAGGCCTGGTGGGGGGGGGGGGGGGGGCTCCGTACCAATGAAAGGTCACTCAGTGAACTTCAAGACAAAGTGAAAATTTAATGACTCTATTCAAGACATGGGGGAAATATACCGATTTGACACTTATAACTATTCTTATGACTGATTCATCAGGCTCCATTAAAGGTTAAGGAACTCTTTTACTGGTAAAGAAACTAAGAAAGGTATGCAAAATTGTTAGGATGTGTGTCTCAGAGAAGATTGTGGAATTTACTTGTGAGTTAACCTGTTTAACCTCCTCTTGACAAATCCTAAATAGTGAGTATATGTAATTCTTGCGTGTGGTGTAAAGTGAGAATACTGGGAAGCTTTATGGGAAGCCCTGGCACCCGCCTGGTGGAACTCTCTGCCAAATGACATCCATGCCCTGTGGGACCTTTTGTAATTTCGCAGGGCTTGCAAGGCAGAGAAGTTCCACCAGGCCTTTGGTTGAGGACAGCAACGGGCACCACCCTGGCTGGCACTCCCTCCTCCTCTTCCTCCCCCTTTTCTTCAACTACACTCCCACCCTACCCCCTCTGTGAGGTGGAGACATGGTTTGAAGTTCAATGCATTAACATCATCTGAACTATACTAATTGTGGATTGTTTTAAATTAACTTGTTTAAATTGTCGGGATTGTTTTTAAATGATGTTTTATCTTGTTCATCTCTCAGAGCCCTGAGTCTTCAGAGATTGAGTGATTTATGTCTGATTTATAAATAAATAAAATAAACCCCAAAGAAGCTGATTAAAATCAAGATATTCATATTCCTACAACAGTATTACCATTAATTTAGTGATTAAACCTAAACATTTTGGATGTAGTAACATAATTTGTGTACCTCTGTCCTGATCCTCAGGCTGGAGGCAAGGCAGTAACAATATCTGGCAGTTGGATTGAGCAGTTGGTTCAGAGGATTCAAGCAAATGGTAGGCTAGTCAATGAAGTCGCAGGCAAGTTTATCCCATGCTGGCATCAGTGTCACTGCAGGCTTATACAGGGAGTTTCCCGAAAGGTGGTGCTGGGTCTAGTGTTAAGTTCATCTCGCAAGCTGACTCAGCTCCTCTACTGATGAGGAATAGCAGGGCCCAGCTCCTGCAGACTCACTGGTTTACTCTGGTGCTGCTTTAAGAGAGGGGAAGCTTTGGGCTGCCATTCACAGGCTTTAGCCCTAGTTCTATGCCTTTTCTGCTTCTGGAGGCGATCTGTAGGTCTGGCAGCAGTTGGGTCCATGCTGGCTCAGGGCACAGTGGCTATTCTGGCAAAGATTCCCTTCAGGGAGCCACTGAGGAATCCACCTTGCAGGAAGTATCTGCCAGAGCAGGGCTCAAGGACGGGTCCTCCCCTTCCAGTGAGGACTCAAACTCCCAAGCTAACTTGGGTCAAACAGGTTTTCAAGCACACGGGCACCAGGAGCAGGGATGGATGGTGGTGGAAAGCTTACTCTTGCTACTGTGTTGTGTGCAAAGTGGTCTTTAATCCCATGAGTCTGCCTACAATGATGGCAACAGACGAAACCTCTCTGTTTGACAATCTGGATCAGGGGTGTCGAACTCATTTGTTATGAGGGCCAGATCTGACATAAATGAGACCTTGTTGGGCCGAGCCATGTGTGTCCTAAAATGTAATGCCAGGTAGCGGAGATATAAACTTTATAAAGGACACAAACACAAAGATTAATGCTTAAAACATTAGCTCTGTAAGCTGCAAACCTACTTTTGACTTATTGACATTCACCACAGAAATCTCATGCTCAGAGTTCTGAGTCTAGGACCCAGGTTAAAACATGAAATGGCTGAGTAATTAAGAGAGTCTAGCGAAGCAAGCTATGATGCTGCAGCAGCAGAACTGGAAGCAGGAGGTGGCCAGTTCCACTGTGGGCCTGATGGAAGTCCTCCAGGGGCCTGATCCGGTCCCCGGGCCACATGTTTGACGCTCCTGATCTGGATGCTTTCTGTTTTGTGGTGGAGGCTGTAATTGACGACTGTAATAATATTGGTTAGTTTAATGGTTTTCTACTTGTTTATTGCTGTGTTAATTGAGTTAATGTTTTTAAAAAGCTATTAGAGAGTTTTAAATGGTTTGGGTTTATTTGTTTTCTGTGTTAGGCCATAGACTAGACCAACTCCAGGGCAACATGGCCTTCTACAGCTGTAACATATTCTTTGCAATAGCCAGATCCAGGTAAGAACTGAAATCTTGTTTTTAGAAAATCTATATAAATAAAGTGACAGTGTTTGCCAGGTTTGACAGGAGAAATACATTATTTCTTCCTTACCCAAGGAAACCAAAATAAGTGTAATTCAATGCCATGTGAATCTGTTGCCTTGAAAAAAAAGTGAAATGCACTCACCAGGTCATGAAGTAGTGACCACACAACTTTGTCTGGCTATGAAGCCAACCTAAATTTATGTTCCTCTGGCACTAGTAATGACTGAACTTTTTTTCAGGGGATCCCACCTGCTTGTACACTCCAGCTGCTCCCCATTTTCCCCCTCCATCGCAGTTGTTCAGCTGGTAGATTCCCACCTTAATCGAACATACCTGAAGGACTCCGATTGCCAGCAGCTACTCTACAGCACAAAGCAGGGCATTGGACTACCTCTTTCACCAACGCAGCCCATACGACTCCTTCACTCATCAGCTCACAGGCACCAAGAGGGTCAGGACAAGCCCCAGCTTAAGCAAAGTACTGTAAAAAAGGACACTGAGGTGGTCAGTGTTCCAGTCAAAGGCGCAGAGCCTGCTGTCCCTAAGAAATCATTGCGGCAGAGGATTGTGGATGAACTGAAACACTACTATAATGGATTCCACTTGCTTTGGATTGACACAAAAGTGGCTGCCAGGATGGTGTGGAGACTGTTACATGGGCAGGTCCTCACCAGGAGAGAAAGGCGAAGGGTGAGCAAAGATTAACTTCTTCCATGGAGACTAGCATAATAACCATCTTCTACCATCTTCTTCAACTAATGGTCTTTCTATCCACAGTAAAAGCGAGCAGACTGGCTTTTGGAGCTATATGTAGTGGCAAGCCACTACACTTCATGTTCTGCAGCCTGTCTGCTCCATAGGCTTTGTGACAACAGTGCATGGCAGTGTCCTTACGCTCCAAAGTTTGCAGCATGCACCAATCAATCATGGCTGGACCCATCTACTGTGATGTACCACTTGGAGGGGGGTGCTGGGAGCAGGGACAGCCTCACCCAACAAAGAGATTGCTGGGTTTCGTAAATCAGCCTGGAAACCAAGGGCCTCATTGTTACTGTCTCTGTGCTTGTTTCCACACACTGCATTCAAACCCGTCCCTGCATCTCAGACTACTCTGTATCATTGATGGTAGTCATGGACTTAGGCACTGTTTCTTGAGGAACAAGACCTATGTTGCACTGTATGGTTGTCTACTAGTCAGGTCTATTTCACTGTTGAAAAAAAGGAGAAGTTGCTTCTCAAGCGCACAGAAATTTACAAGAAGCCGCTTTCTCAGTTCCTTCTGCATATATGCCATTTCTGTGGAAAAGGGGAATGAGTTGGTTTCCTAGGTGGGTCCAGTGCAGCAGAAAGTTTTCTGGTGCACTACCAACGTAACCCTGTGCCCATATGTCTGCCTAACAAGGAACACTGTTTTGGCTTTTCAAGTTCTTGTCATTAGTCTAATAACAGAACTGCTTTGCTGGATTAGACTATCCAGTCTGTAATTCTAGACTAAATGGACTGATCCAACATAGCGGTACACTGTCTTATGCCAATGAAAAAACTGGGAGAGATTTCTGGCTCCTGGATCCCCTCCCCCGCAAACTGATACTATCAACTGATATTGTTTCAAAATCGCCAGATTACTATTTGTGCACACTTCAGACTTCTCCCTCTTTGCAGTATGCCCTTCCTGTCCACACTCAGATCTGAGAAAAACTCTGTCTTGTTATGAAATAGGAGATGGGCAGTCTCTCTGGTCCTCCTTGTTTCTTAGCAGAAGGGATGATGGTTCCGGGGCAGGGGGAGAAACACAGGAATCTAAATAATCCTAAAACAGTGTTATCGTCCCATTTTTATAGGAAGATGGAACAAGCCAATTGAGATGGTAATTCTGGCAGCCTGGCTACATAGCCCTGTTCACAGTTATGCTATGCCATGGAAGGAGCAAGATTTTTGACTCAAGCAGACAGCCGTTAGAATACTTTCCCATCCATTTCTGTTCAGTGTGAAACCTCCTAACATTTCCCCCCAGGGCTTGATGTAAATGTTTCAAATGGGCTAAACATTAAGCGTCTTAAAAGAAGGGATTTTTTGAATGTTCTAAACCAGAACAGAAAATCACTTTTATTTATTTACATTATTTATAGTCCATCTTTCTTACTGAGACTCAGCATGGATTACAGAGTGTAAGTCAGTGCAGTCAGTAAGGTGTGGCATCCAGTAACCATGTAATGGGATTAGGATGTGGAAATTAAAACCAAGTGAAATCTGAAACAAAGCCTAAATTATTAATGTGGCATATTAAACTATGCAGAAATTTCATAATAGGATAATACATACAGCAACAGTCTTCTGTCCTTATGCTGGATGTCCCCAGGAAAGAAACTCATGATGGAATCCATTATACTAATTCATAGCCCAGTTCTCCTTTGTAATTTCATGGCATACATAAAACTAAGTTTACCTTGTTTGAACAAATGGTTTAACAAGTACATTTTAAGCACTGTGTGCTGCCAGCATGAGTTAACATAGACCTCTTAACATTTTTGTCCTCAGGTCCTGGAGGAGAAAGGTTGCCATTTTTCCATTCCAAGCTTTCAAAATGTTGAAAGATTGTAGGTAGCAGTGTTGATCCACAGAAAAATTCCAACAGTAGCCAGCTAAAGGCCATCCAGCTCTTTTGTTGTTGTTGTTGTTCAGTCGCATCAATACAAAGTGAAATGCTGCATAAATTCACACAAAGAAATTAATGCTGAAATCCAACTTCTATTTCACTGTAGACTTACTGTCCACAGTGAAATAATAATGGTTGGTGATAAGAGCTGTTAGAAGCCTTCCTGAATGTTTGGATACCTTAGTGGTGAATTAGACTGTGAAAGGACCACTGGAAATTGAAGTTTGATAAAGATTGTTCTCGAAACGAACGGCAAAACTCGAGAAGTTCGTCCCGTTCTGTACATCTTGTTGACACTCTGGTGTCTGGATGATGTCCACCTGTTGAAATACAAGAATTATAAACAACATGGAAGTTGGATTTCAGCATTAATTTCTTTGTGTGAATTTATGCAGCATTTCACTTTGTATTGATGTCATATGTATTGCTGTGCCCTTAGTTTTTGTTGTTCAGTCGCATCCAGCTCTACAGAAGAATAAAACACTACCTAAACAGAATTACTAGAACAAGCAAGGTTCTCTAGGGAAGGAATTCCAGAGCCCCAGAGCCATTTCTTTAAAGGCCCCGGATCCTCACTTTTGTTCCTATCACTTCCCTAGGAGCTGCTTACTCTGACTGTATAAACTAATGGAAGGGCAATGTAACTTAATTTAATCTAAATGTTTGCTTTGCATATCTTATCTCTGCAGCTGTTGAGAACATCTGCTGATCTCTTCCGGCTGGTTCCTTTCCTGGTGTTCATCATTGTCCCCTTCATGGAATTCTTACTGCCTGTGTTTCTGAAATTGTTTCCTGAGATGCTGCCCTCAACCTTTGAAACACAGTCCAAAAAGGTCAGTATTAAAAATGGCTTACTTGGCTCAGCCACTGAGCCTTGCAGTGCCCGTGGTTGTACAACCCATGACAAGGAGCTGGTGTATTAGGAACCATTTGCCTCCAGCTCTGACCAAGTGGCACTCCCCCACATTTTTTGTCACCTTGTGTGTGATGGTCTAACAGGTGCTTGCTTTTAACATGCAAGCAGTTTGCTTCCCAAGACATTTGGGGGGGTATTGTCTGGCTGGGTACTAGCTGCCATAAGAGGACTGGTGGGAAGCAACACGGTATCCTTCCATTATACTTGGATCCAACTGCAGTTGAGAGTGTGTCCCCCCCCCCCGAATACTTGTGTTACACTTGGTCAGTTGTATGCATCTGAGTCCTGTGAGCCACTGCCAGAACCTATTTCAGCTAAAAAGAAGTAGAATAGAAATATAATAAAGATCCACTGTGGAAGTAGCAAGCAAATACTGATTCAGCTGTGAGAGGAGGAAGATAGGGGATGATAAAAATGGTCTCTTACAAGGCTGTTGTAAGAATTTCTGAGAATGTATTGGAAAGGACTTGGATGTTGTAAAGTGCTAGATAAATGCAAAGAGTCGCCATTTTCTCCTCTGTATTAAAAAGGAAGAAAAGCAGAGAAAGAAGCTGAGTGCTAAGCTGGAAATAGCCAAATTCCTGCAGGAGACCATTGCAGAGATGGCCAGAAGGAACAAAGCTTCTACAGGAGATGCCACCAAGCAGTTCTCTTCATATGTTCAAAAGGTACAAACTTCATGATTAGACAAGCTTCAGTACCAAGAGAAGGCCATTGATTTGGTCCAGTCAGGTAGGTAGATAAGATTTAAAGACATCCCTTTCCCACAAAAGGCCTTTTTTAGAGAGAAATAAATAAAAAGCATACACCCACCCTTTCCTGTTGATAAGTTTATGCAGCATATCAATTATGTTTACAGGGAATGCTAATATCTCAGTACTGAAATTGGTGGCTTTCTGTGCTTACATGCTAAGTATCCTGAGATTTAGTACTCTCAATACCTGCACAGTACTAACATTCTGAATCTGCCAAGTTGCAGTATCTTTTTGAGAAGACATTTCCTGCTGTTTTTGATGTTGTCCTATATGCTGTCTGCAGTTTTTCCTTCAGGATATAAGTCAGCCTCATCAGTGCTATCCATGGACTTTGGTAGCAAGATAACTAGAGCATTCACAAGAGCTAAGAGCAGCTGGGTTGTAGGAGATGGAAGTCTGGATCATTTTGGCAATGAGACTAATTCATACAACCTTGCAAATCAGAAAGAACAGTATCTCTTAGGAAGCGTCCAAAAGTTGTTTTAATATGACCTCACAGAAGGGACATGAAGCTCATCCACTCTGACCATTTGATGGGTGTTACTTAGATCAACCCTCCCACATTATCCAGATTAGAACATTCAACAAGCAAAAATGCAGATGCAGACTAGCTTCCCTGCATCATAGGGTTCCCTGCATCATAGGGTTCCTGTGGGCAAAGACTGTTTTGGTGACATAATCCATACTATCTGAAGCATGGGGGAGTGGAGGTGGGGTTTAAAAGAAGCAGCAAATACTTTGTGAGTTTATGCAAGCAGTTCTCTGAAGAGGCAACATAAAATTTTCTAGGTAAAATTTAATTGAACTGAAACCATTCTATCAAGCATATGAATCTGAAAAAAGCCATTTCAAGTAAGTAGAATTGCTTATAAATGCCTTTGCTTCAATGGAAAATCATACTTGCTCTCATAATGGAATTGGCCAAGAGCTTTACTTTCTGCTTACCTTGTGAAGCCAACAGAAGTACTTGAGAACTCCAGTAAGCCACTCAGTGATCAATTTAGATGCGTGCAAGTTCATACTCTGAAATTTGTCTTTCTTGGGGAGTGGGTCAGCAAGAAATGATGACATTGTAATTTAATCAGAACACCTTGAAGAAACTGGCTTCTTTTTAGCTCAGCTCCTAGCTGGGGCTGGTGGTCCAAGATGGTAATATTCTCACTGCAATCTTACCCATTGCCTTGCATAGGTTCGGCACAGCGGCCAACAGCCCAGCACCCAGGAGATTGTCCAGTTTACCAAGCTGTTTGAGGATGAACTGACCCTGGAACACTTGGAGCGGCCACAGCTAGTAGCCCTCTGCAAATTGCTGGAGCTGCAACCCATTGGGACCAATAACCTCCTCCGCTTCCAGCTTCTGTTGAAGCTCAGATCTATTAAAGTAGATGATGAAGTAAGAAACTGTAGACGCATGGGGTAGACTTTGCATGCTGGTTAATGCGGCAGCATTAGTTTCTTCCTGTCCCATTTAGTCCGTTCTCTCTTCTAATGTGCCATTTACATCCAAAGTCCGATAGGTGTAGTTGTGCCCCCAACTCTAAGAGAGATGCATACACAAAAAGGTTTGTATGTGCTCTACAGTCCCACCTGGGAGGGAGGCTAGATGCAAAGCAGGGTCCTTGAATACCAAATGTTGTAGTAAAGTACCATCTGTCATTTTAAGAAGAGGCTATGAAATTTCTCAGCTGATCTGTACAACAGGATATCACAGGGAAGCCTGTGTTGTCCAGAATGCAGGTAATAAAATTTGAAGTTCAAGGTCTGAACATCTTGTAACATCTCCAAGGTGCTTTTAGTGTATGATATAATGTGACCAAAGTGCCCATGTGCCTAAATGTTTCTGTCCCACCTACTTAAGTACTCATTGACCAGCTCCTGTGTGACATGAATGCCATTAAACCAATTGCATTGAGTGGAGCCATGAAACTGTGAGATCAGAAGAGATTTGCCAGTGGCATCCAGAGGCACAGTAGGCAGAGGCCAGGACAAAGGGTCAGTGAAAAGCTAGAATATCTTCCACACTGTGGTCAAGAGCCCTTAGCCGAAGTAGTAAGGGGTGGCCATAGTTGTTTTCAGAGACAAATGCAGTGCTTCTAGACTGAATTAGCCAAAGTCTTTTGACAGTTCTTCTTTCTGTACTCTCAAAACATCTGTGTTCTTGCATTGATTATGCATGCAGGCATAGAGCTTTTGGTGATGAAGCCTAGGGCTAAAGAATTTTAGTTGGTCAGCTGACTGAAAATGACAAATGTATTGGTCCACACTGTGCACATTGCTTAAATCATACTATAGGTGCCCTTTTCAGATACTAAAAGAAGCATAAACATTCAGAATTTAAATGCTACCACTCTTTGCTAGAAAGAAAAGCCATCTTATAAAGCATTTTCTTTTTCATTATGAAAAGGCCATGGCTTGAAGCGCACATGCTTTGGAAGAAGAAGGTCTCAGTTTTAATTCTTGGTATTGTAGATATCAGGTATTTGGAAACTCCTGGAGAGCCACTGCTAATCCAAGGAGACAATGTTGAGCTAGATATAGCAATAACTTGACTCTGCTTCCGAACAGGCAGCTTCAGAACAGGGGGAGTCATAGCTTGGTGGCAGAGCATGCAGAAGGTCCCTGGTTCAGTCTCTGGCTAAAGGACCTCAGGTATAGCAGGTATTGGAAAAGACTTTCCTCTGCCTGAGACCTCAAAGAGTCGCTGCCAGATGGAGAACACAGTACCAAACTACGTAGACCAGTGGGTCTCCGTATATGGCCGCTTCATATGTTTATTTTCCAACCGGTCACACACCAGAAACCACAACAACCTCAACAAACAGAAGCATATGCCCTTAAATTCATAGTCTCACTGATTGAAATCGGCCCTTACATGTTCCTCAAGTAAACCTGTAGCTGATTAATCTACCAATCAAAATCTACTCCTGCATGAAGCTGATAATGAATTTCCAGCATAACTATTATGGGCTTACTTCTCAGGACAGAGCTGTACTTAAAAATGAAGGCTTACCTGCATCTTAAGCAGTTGGAAGACCCAGCCCAAGCACACACATTGCTAGAAAAAGGCCATTTGGCTCCGATACATGGCTTATATATTTGCTTCCCTGTTGCAGAAAGGGACAGAGTTTCAATTTCCAAAAGAATGAAGTGATGTTAATTTGATCTCTGTTTTCTGTACACAGCTGATTGCCAAGGAAGGTGTTAATGGCCTGAGTGTGTGGGAGCTGCAGAGCGCATGCAGGGCAAGAGGAATGAGGTCGTTGGGCCTCACAACAGAACAGCTGAAGGAGCAAATCAAACAGGCAAGTTGGGGACAGGGGAGGGAGAGAATGGCTCTGCTTTTTGGGCTCATCTGGGCAGACAATGCTCATTCATCCTACAGAGTTTTAATTTATCATTTCTTAAAGACATGCAGTGAGCTGCAGACAGAGCTTGAAATTCCTCTTCAGTTGAGCTAAATTAATTTTACTGACACAACTTGCTTCTGGCTGGGCTGAGAGCCTCTAGAACTGCTTTTCCGACTCTGGGCAGCAGGTATTGGTAACAGGTTCTATATAATAGGGTGAGGTCAAGTCCTAGACAATACGGATCTTGCATCAGCCGTAGTCTGAACTTAGCTGAGCTCCTAAATAGCAAAACAGGCCAGCTGAATGCTTAAGTCCCACCTCTTAGCTCAGGGGTAGCAGGAATTTAAAGGAGCAGAGGCCTAGCTAGGAGCCCAGCACTCCAGCATCACTGAGCGATAATCAAGTGTGTTCACTGTTTTCTTTGTGGGGAGCTTACCGATTAAATGCTGAAAGGTCCATAATCAGATGTTCTCAACATTTTTTTAAATGGAGGTAGCAGCTACCTGGAGCTGGGAATCAGATCTGGAGGGATTTAACCTTCCTACTACCATGTGGTTTTAATCAGTTGCCTGCCGTAGAAGGGAAAAGAGGCAGACACACTCTACTTGTCTTCCCCCACACCCCTTCCAGGTTTTAAGAGCCAAGGGGTTGGTCTTCATCAGGGAAATGATGGAGGGGAACGGGTTAACCTCATTCTTCCTCTTGCCCACAAGTGACTCCTGTTTCTGTTAGAAAACACTGGGAAGATCCATTCACCAGTCTCCCAATTCTGGATCGGCTTGGCTCTAAAGCCCCGACCTCAAGGGGGAGGATTCCCTTGCCATGGGTCTCAGGCCTGCTTTGGGTCAGTTCCTGCTGGTCTGCACTTGTTGAGATGTCCTGGTCGCCCTCTAAGGCATCTGGAGACAGGAATTTGACAATGAAGCAGGACAGTTCTTTTCAATGTAGAACTTCAAGTCTTAGGGGAAACATCAGGCCATTAGGCAGGAATGAGGAAGTCCACCCCACCCCCAGCCACAATCCCACCAACAATCCCAAGGATGCTTACCTAAGCAGGAAAGCAGTAAGCAGCTGTCCAACCACTTGTACTGGGAGGGTTCAGATTCATAAAAGCCTCTGTCCACCTCTGTAAGTCAAAGTTCATGCATCGGATTCTCTAAATTGTCTTTCTCCTTGTCCCCCTCTTGCACAGTGGCTCGATCTGCATCTGAAAGAGAATGTTCCTCCTTCGCTGTTGCTACTTTCTCGCGCCTTATATTTGACGGAGGTGAAGCCCAAACCTATTGCAGCGTCATCAGCTGATGTGAGTTGGATCTACAGCAATTGTGTTGAAACAGATTTCTGCAGCAATTGTGTTTAAACAGATTTCATCTTCCACATTTTCATGATAGGAGACACTAGAGAGGCACACAGAGATAATAGTGGAAAATGCCACAGCATCTTACAAGTTGAGGCAGAGCTGCCATCCCCCTCTTTTCCTTTTCAGACTGTGTGTGGTTATTCCACTTTATAATAACAAAGTATAGACCACTGTAATGCTCTTAAAATATATTGTATTTTTTTGCAATTGCTGCCCAACATCCTATACTTGTTTAAAGTTCTGTTGAGTCCACTGAGTCTTACTCCTAAGTAAGTGTGCCTAGATTGCAACCTTGATTTGAATATTTTGAATACCGTGAATATGGACCCTTCTGCCCCACTTACTGAAGCCTGAAGTGTGGGTTATGAATGAACAAAGTAGACAGTACCTGTAATTCCCCCACCCCCCGAGTGCACAAACACCCTGTCTCACAGCTGCTTTTAGCTTTAAAAACCATATCTCCCACCGTCTCATTTACTTCAGCCCTTGGAAATCACAGGGATTCTTGCAATGCTTTCAGCATCTTCCAGCAACATCCACCTCAGGGATTGCTCCCATGCTGATTCAAGTAGCTCTTCCATCAACCCTGTCCTGCCTGACAACATGCTCAAATAAAATACAAGTGATGCTCTTGTTTGTGCCTCAAAGTCCATAAACTCCCTGCTGACATTCAGTTATCAGGGTGAAGGCAGTGTTGCTGCTATGAAATCTGTAAAGTGAATAGTGACAAGAAGTTGTCTGGCCTTTTCTTAGCCTCTGCCGAGCAAAGCTGCTGAAGAAATGGGCACTTCTGAAAATCAGGAGACCTTGCTGGATTCTGCTCCCAGAGTGCAAGGAAGTAAGGTGAGACACTGACTTCCCCACAGACCCGCCCTGCCCAGTCTAATTCTGAATAAATCCTGATAATTAGTTAGAACACAGGTATTGGGCATTGAAGTCACTTCGTGAATGGTAATGGAACCACAGTAAGCAAAAAGGACTTTAGGCTCTCAAGAGGTGTGCTTTTGCAACAAGATCAGCTCTGTTAATGAAGATTTCCAGGACTCCTAAACCTTGATGGGAACCTATAATAATTGACTTAATTTTTTCTCCCTCTTTCTTGAAGAGTGAAGAATTTATAGCACAGCCAACAGAGAAATTACCAGTTCCTCAAATGTCAGCTGACCCTCCTGCAAGCAAGGTGACTTTTACATCCATATTTCTTAGGCCACACATCACATAGATACATTTTTTAAAGGGTAGACTTTGATAGCATTCACAGCCCTAAGATAGTTGGTCAATTAAGGCGGGTGGCTTTGTGGATTAATCATCTTAGTCAATTAATTCATTATTTTAAATACAGTCAACTGATTAAATTTGCACTTGACCAAAATCTCAACCTGCTTTTTCCTTCCCACTAAATGAAGGAAGTGAATGATAACAAAATCTCTCCTTATATATAATTGTGTAGTGGGGTGGCACTTTCTGAACATTCCACACGCCTCTAAATCAGTTGACTCCATGTTGTGTCACTCAGAAGCTGTCCCTATCCACTGGCTGCGTTGCCTAAGTCCCGCCCACAGAGGCAGCGCCTGCCAAAACTTTCCTCAGAAGATGGTTGCTTCGCTCCGGTGAACACAGCTACTGTCTTCACTCTCTTTGCCAGATGACGATTGATTCCCTCAGGGGACAAAACCCGCCATCTTTAGCCTCCAAGCCAAGTTTGCTGAGGCAACACTTTGCAGAATGGAAAAAAACCCGCCAAGTAAACAGCTGTCAGCATGGCAGAGGTTGGGGGGGGGGGACCAGCCCAAGTTATCACAAAAAAGCCAGTGGATACACACACAAGCAGAGATAGAGGATGGGACCAGACACACAAAAAACAGGAAGCCAAAAAACTGAAGCATGCTGCAAAGCAGAAATACAGACACAGTCACAGACAGATCTACGTAGGCATGTGCAAACAGGAGGAGTGCAGGAACAACTGACTGAAGTGGAGAATGTTCAGAAAGTGCTACCCCAGTATTCAGTTATATATAAGGAGAGATACTGCTAATATGTACTTAATCTGCTTCCAGGCGATGCATTCGTTACACATCACATCTGTCTAGAACTCGTTGTATTGCTTTTACAACAAGATTTACTGCTAGTAACTCAATGAGAAAAAATAATTGATCATATGCAGAAGGGTTCTCCTGAGTTTCATTCCTTGTCACAGCTCGGTGCCAGAATCCAAAGAAGAATGAGTATTCCATGCCTACTCCACTTGTTATAAGTGGTAAATTTGACCCCTCATTCTTGGGTGGAAAACACACAGATCAACATACAGCCTCTAACCATCATTGAAAGCAGAATGCTGTGAGATTGCCAACTGCCTGCTTTCTGCTGAGGAATACATTTTTTTACCATCTAAAGACTTCACAAAATCAATCAAATGCAACTTCATGGTGGGATTTCAAAGGAACTACTGCAGTGTTGGGGGCAATAGAGTTTAGATGTCCTACCATAAAGCCCTTAATATGCTTGAAAATGAAATGGGGCTAATTTCCAAGCATGTTGTGATTAGTATCAGGCTGGGTAATGTTTGCACGGGTATACCAAAACATCAACCTCCCTCCTTTTGACATTTTGTCTTTCTCTTTATTGTAGACAAAAATGGAAACCTCTCGGAGTAGCAAAGCCAGTGCAAATGGAGTTTAGCTGTGCTTCCAGGAAGGACTCAGGCATTTCAGAAAGAAAAGCCTCATAACTTAAATCACACTGGGGAGCAGGGTTTTTTGTTCTTTTGCGGGCCAACTCCTTCCCTCGCACAAGAGTCTGCTATTCTTTCACACTCCCCCTGCGTAACCCAGTTTGGTCTGATCCAGATGTTTTTGTTATCATCTCAACCAGGCAAAAAGGGGACCTTGTGTTATAGTGCCAACCTCTTAATTTACTGTAGCCCATGTAATTTAACTTATTTTTTGTAAATATGTATATAACCCACAAACAGGACAAGCTGTAATTTATACAACATTGCTAGATGTTAAGATTCGTGTTTCTTAAAAATGTTACCGAAGTGATGACTTATCTTTTTTTTTTTTTTAAACAAAGGCTTGACTAGCAGAAATTGAGTGCTTCCCTAAGCTGGTGCTATAGAACTGGGGCTTCCCATTCAACAAGCTTGACCTACTTGGACTTTCAAATGGTTTACAGGCTGATCTTAAATGTTCCACTGAGTGAGTTCAGAGGCACGAACTCCCAAGTAAACGTGCACAGGATTGCAGCCCTAGTTCCAGTTAAGTCGGTAAGCTGATGGTGCTGCAAGAATATGAAAGTAATCCTCCTTTACTACAGAAGCAGGACAGAGCCTCTTATAAGTTTTGTCCCATTACATTTTCTAAAAACTCCCACTGTCTTCCCCGACAACTCCAATTTATCAGAAAGCAATCCCTCCAATGGCTCACTAGACTTTGTATAAGAGGCCAGTACCACCACAAAGCACAAAAGCAGGCCATTCTATTAATCAAAGTATGCATTGGGCTATAAAATGTTCTTGCCACCCTAAGCCAGTGAAAACAATTTTTTTCACCCATTGTTTTTTTTAAGAGTTAAGCAATCTTATAAGAGTTATGTGCTGTGGAACTGGGAAAAGACAGTAGTCAATAAACCTTACAGAAGTACTAGAAAGTAGGAAACACTGGAGAGATCTTTATCATTCAACTGTAAGGCCCTCCTCAGGAATAAATTCTCTCTGCTTCTCCCAGGACTGCCCCATTAACAGTAACTGAAAGCCTCAGGACTGTTCCCTGCCCACCAGTCAAGTGGGCACATCTTTGTAGCTCGGTAGCCATTTAATAAGATCTGATCTGTGATGCTGGCTCGCAGAGCATCCCACTAGTTAATATTCTTTATAAATGTTTGTTCAACATGTTCGTTTTGTGACGGAAATATACCTTCCTGATAGCTGTGCAGAAGGATCTAGAGACCAAACATTTTTGTTCGTTTCAGCCTCTGGAAATATATTTCCCCCCAAAAAAGATATCTATTCTGGACATATCTGAGACACTTGTTTTTATTGTACAATTTAGGTTTGTCTGTTTAATCACACAGAGCTACTTTTGTAAGACAGACTATTCGAATAGGGCAGTCATTTGACTGATGGGAACACCTGCCACCCACTGCTCCAGACACTAATGTCCAAAGGAATCCTTTGTGAACTTTTGAATCAGTAGGAGATATAGTGCAAGTACTGTGTTACCTGATGAAGAATCTTGCTGGTGGGTTCTAGTTGGCCAGGCAGTCCAATAAATGGCCATGATGCTACATCATGCCTCCCATTTGTTTGTGCAAGTATGCTAAAGGCAAAACTTCTCACTCAGGGACATGTCCCAGATAGATGTACCCTTGAAAACATTATAGCTTGAGGCATTTGGGGAAAGGGAATGGGACGGTGGAGGTATCAGCTGAAGCTGGACCTTTTCAAAGGGATGATCCTACCCACACAATGTTCATACCTGTAACACAGTAGCAGGCAATGACTTGAATGTGCAGGTTTGCTGTCTCGCATCTAGCACCAAAGGTAACTTCACATTATCTCATATACAATGTTCTTCAGCTTCAAGGCACAAATGCATGGTAATCAAATGATTACATGCATGCATGAACTAGCACAAAGTCTGCATTAGGAAATTTCCTCCCACCTTATCTTTCATAAAGGTGGCCATTTTTTTCTTTCATACCCTAGTTCTTAAAGTATTCTCCAATAGCCCCTATGTCCTTTAAGTGCTGTTAACTACAATTACAATTATATACCTTTATTGGCATAATGAGTGCTGTTAACTATAAGAAAAGAGATGTGTATACCCATAGCATGTATGCACTGTGCTAATTTAAGAAGAACGGGATGTGCTAATCCCTTGCTGCAGAGCCCTGCTTCTTGTGCTCTGCTGGTCCACCTGGGCAACAACAACAGTTTGATGGGCCATAAATTGCCCATAGCTATCTTGCACCCATTAATACTGAGATGGCTTGGAAGGGTTGGTGTCAAGTCAAAATTCTTAGATAAGAGAAGAAGAAGAAGAAATTGTATTTATACCCCACCCTTCACTACCCAAAGGAGTCTCAGAGTGGCTTACAATCTCCTTCCCTTCCTCTCCCCACAACAGACACCCTGTGAGGTAGGTGGGACTGAGAGAGCTCTGAGAGAACTGCTCGTGAGAGAACAGCTCAGAAGCAACTTGTAACTGACCCAAGGTCACACCAGCAGCTGCATGTGGAGGAGTGGGGAATCAAAACCCGGTTCTCCCAGATTAGAGTCCGCACTCTTAACCACTACACCAAACTGACTTTCCAGTTTGAGGAATATTGAAACAGCCTAATTGCCCTTGGTTTCTTTTTGTTCCATTGTTACCTTCTGGAAAACAGGGTATGGAAACACTACAAAACCCAGAAGGGACAGTGGGATGGGTTTTGCACAACACAAGCAATTCTGACATTCTTGTATCATCTTCAACACCCTGAAAACAATCATCTGTCTCCAGCCAAGGCAGCTGTTGTTTTCAGATTCTGCCTGAAACTGTCTAAGCGAACAGCAATGTTGTTAAAAGGGGCACTTATGGCACAGCAACTGGCTAAAACACTGATAGCAGTTCATAAAATTCTTTGGTGGTCCACTTTGATCAAAAAGCAGAAATATAAATATATGAATTACTAAAGAGAGAAAGCAAAGAATACGAAGAAATGGAGCTCATTGTTATTTAATTTATGGAGTTAAATGTAGCAGCCAAGACTAGCAACACCAAATTATTCAAATTGTAGAAATCCCAAAAAAATGGTAAAAATTTCCTAAAGGATCCCCTACAAATTGGGATTACGTTAGAAGATCCATGAATGGGTCCTCTGTGAGATTTTTTTTAAAAAATTATAAATAGCAACCACAGGAAGAGGGGGGGAATTCAATAATTCAGATCAGGCCAATATGTGCAAAGGAGGATTAACCTTTTTCCTCTGCACCATGTTCTAACCACAAGTTAGCCTTCCAACTACCATACAGTTACTGATATTCTTCCATTCCCAGGGCAAATAACAGCTTGGTGTGGGGCAACAGTGGTCTGGGAAATGACCCAGAGGGAAAGGATAAAACCTACCTCCCACTGCGCTACACCCCTTGAGCCAAATCAGGGGGTCCCACAACTGCTGTTTACCAGTTAAAAAGCCACCAGAGGTCTGTTCACAGATTCCCGTACACCTCCTAATTCAGTTTGACTCTTAAGTGAAAGAGTGGGAATCAATATAAGTAAACTCAAAGTGATACATGCTGGGATAAAAACCGATCCTTAATTTAAAGGACCATCACAAAAAGTTTTCAGTATTCAAAGCACTTCACATTATCACAGTAATCCTTACAACAGCCTCGTAAGGGTAGGTGGGTATTATTATCCCCATATTGACTTGGGATTGAAGCTGAGTCCAAGCTTGCCTAGGGCTGAAATTTGAACCAATGACCACCTGGACCACCACTCATAAAGTCTATGCTATACCAATTCCCAAAGAGCCTTATACCTTGGCATATCATATAAAAATGTTAATAAAGTAAAATAATTTAAAGTTTCCGTCAAATGAGCTTGAGCCATTCCTTTCTACTGTCCGTAGCAACAGAAGCAGAGGAAGAGTTGGTTTAATAGCCTGCTTTTAAGAAGTTTCAAAGCAGTTTACAATCACATTCCCTTCATCTTTTGCTCATAGTAGTAAAAATTCCAGGTTCAGCAGCCATTCCTGCACAGCCTCAGCAGGGAGCAGCAGAGCCCAGGATTTCTCCAAGAAGTCGTCTCTGTGTGTGTCATCGGTTGGAGGGAGACACTTTCTTCATTCAAGGATAGTCCTGTATCATGAAAGGCAAAGAACAGCACAAGGAGCTTGGATTAAACACAACAGCTTCTCCCCCCTCTCTGAGCTGCAAACCACACATGTTTCCCACTGCCAGCACTATGCCTATACCCCTTTTCTGGACAGTTTCATGTCCACAAGGCAAGGCAGATGCATGGCAGAGATTCTTCAGATCACCACTACAGTGTGCGGTGAACACCTAGCACAGACACAAAAAATGATTGTGTCACTGTATTTGCTCATGAGCAGACCCTCCTCAAAATGGCCCTCTGATAAAAACTAAATTCTAATATTTCCCAAACAAATGTTTTGTCCCAGCTTCTCTTGAAATCTTGAGGAGGTGATCTTTGGAAGGAGACTCCGTAGCATCCCCATTATGCAAAGATGGTTTGCAAAGATTATTATTGCTCTTTGCTTTTATCCACAACTGAAAAGTAGCCTAACAGCACAATCCTAAACAGATCCAGATAGTCAGCCGTGTTGGTCTGAAGCAGTAGAACAAATTTAGAGTCCGGTGGCCCCTTTAAGACCAACAAAGGTTTATTCAAGGTATGAGCTTTTGTGGGCAAGGCACACTTTTTCAAAAATGTGTTCTAATCCTAAACAGAGTTACATCCTACTAAATCCCTCAGACTCAATGGGTATAGAAAGGTGTGACCCTGTAAGAGGCAGACTACACAATATGTATTTTAAATTAATCAGGTCAGTGCACATGGATCCCCACAGTGGGCTAGATAACACGCCGTACAAAGTTTTAGTCCACTGACAGTTTTAAGACCAACAAAGTTTGGTGTAGTGGTTAAGTGTGCGGACTCTAATCTGGGAGAACCCGGTTTGATTCCCCACTCCTCCACTTGCACCTGCTGATGTGACCTTGGGTCAGTCACAAGCTCTGGCACAGCTGTCCTTGAAAAAGAGCAGTTTGTGTCAGAGTTCTCTCAGCCCCACCCACCTCACAGGGTGTCTGTTGTGGGGAGGGGAAGGGAAAGGGGTTTGTAAGCCGCTCTGAGACTCCAAGTGAAGGGCGGGGTATAAATCCAATCTCTTCCTCTTCCTCTTCTTCTTATTCAAGGTATAAGCTTCCATGTGCCAGCACAGATATTCCAGGCCTGTTTGTCTCC